ACTCAAGTGGACATGGGGAGAGGGCAGGTAGATAGAGGACTCAGATTTGACAGAGAGGTCTGAGTTGGGGAATATACGTCCAGATTTAGGAGTTTCCCTCATGAAGATGGTATTTAAAACCATGAAACCAGAGGAAGTGACCATAGAGGGAGGAAGGGAAAGGTCTGGAAGCCAGGTGCCCAGTAGGCAGGCCAGTTCCTAGTGGGGAATCAGACTGAAAGGCCTTAGGTAGTGAGGGGGTGGCTCCCAACAGCCTTTAGAGGTCGGGTTTTTTGCTTTGGTTGCTGTTAACTGGAAATTTTATCTCTTCACTGGTTCAGAGCTTCAGTCTTAAGCCAGTGATAGCTGACACAAGGCCATCTAGGGGGGAAACAGAAAAGTCACCGGGACTGCTGACATCAGCAGTGGGTCTTTCTCAAATCTTTCACTGATGACCCTTGTTGGTGCCGAGGACTCACAGGAAAACTCTTGTAAGCCACTTGCGTGCCTTGTAGCACTTTGCGCCAAAGCCGCTGCGCGAGGAGTCCAGTGTTTCTAAGCCTCCTGTCTCCCTTAACTCTAGACCATATTGAAAGAAAAGACTTCTCAGCAATTTGGTCTTGTGCCCCAGGTGGGATTGGGGGTGGAATCTGAGACTTATTTCATCCTACCCTTTTGGGAGTAAAAACAGCTTCAGGCTTCTAATGTAACTTCAGAGCCACCTCTCAAATGCCTTAGGTTAATAAAATATTTATCATCAGCAGATGGTGGCCAGGGGCAAAACAGCCCCTCTCACTTTCTTCAGTACCTTTTAGTAATTATATAGGGGAGGGCGAAACAGGGAAGCTCCTGATTCAGTGCCCCCTTCCTCCCCTCCTTCTGTCCTCCATGGGCTCGTGGGCCCAGACCTCAGGGCCTTTGCACTGAATCTCTTTACATGCGCCCCAGAGTCCTCCATAGACTGGAGGCTCTCAAGCTGCTTCTCCAGTGGTTTGTTTAGGGCTTTTCTTTGTCCTGCTGCCTCTAGCCGAGGCGTTTAATGTTTTAAAGCAAAGTGAATTGCTGCCTTGACAGAGTAGTGATTGAGGCTATAAGGAGCAGGGACCTGCGTGCCAGCACTCAGAACCAAGGATACGGTGAGCCAGGCCCAGTCTGCCAGATCCTGCGGAATGAGCGGGACACCCTCATTCTCTTTCATCTTGACCAGGATTTTGATAAAATTATTAATTTAATGATTTATTTGGTGATAGAAGCTACCTTTTCTGTGCCCCAAAGAAACCTGGCTTGTAAATGATGCGCAAGAACGTGGAGGGAATGAAGTCCAGGTAGAGAGAGGCTGCAGAGCAGCGTGGAGAGGTCTGCAGAGATGAGCAGGCCAGATCCTGCACGTAGGAGGCGGCAGGAGCTCCCAGCAACCAGCACTGGGGAGTCCTTGCTCACTCAGAGGCAGAAGGCCCTGGCTCTCTTTTCTGTTTGCACCGTCGCTGGGTATCAATGACTAGGCAGAGTCTGAGGCTCCTGGGACGCCAGGGGAGCACTGCTCCTAATTAGAGCAGAGCTAGATGTGGAGGCAGCACCTGTCTGAAGATCAGAACACTTCTACTAAACAGCCTGGTGGTGACCTATGAGCTTTATTTGAATTTGTAGATTAGGGAAGAGTAGCTAGTGTTTTACACTGGCTGGAGTCATGCCTGTGTGCGCGCGTGTGTGTGTGTGTGTGTGTGTTTGAGACAAGGAGGGGGAGGTGAGGAGACTGGCCTGGGAGGCAGCTGTCAGTCTTTTCAAAACACGAAGAAATTGTGAGTGATTAAACAAAAGGTGGCTAGACTAGGCATGGTTAAATGTTATTACTGATTATTCAGACAAATACTGGCCAATTTCTACCCTCCTGCTTTAGAAAAATCTTTAAAAAGTGGCAACAATGTGTAATACCTGGGATTTTCTTTAGCAGTTGGGGTTCCAGCTCAGTTTGCTCCATTCAGCAAGTACTTTTAAAGCACCTACTCTGTGCCGGACCCTGCTGGGCGATGTGGGTGTAAAGGAAATACTGGATACAATCCCTGCCCTTGAAGAGCTCACTAACCTGGTGAAAAGACAAGGTTATACAAAAGAAACAAATTTAGGGAAAAGTAAAAACCATTTTCAGGAAAGAACTAGGGGTTCTTGGCCTGAGAGGCCCATGGCGTCAGGAGCATGGTCAAGCTCCTGGTGAAAGCTGTGCTCTCGGGGTCTGGATGCCTGGAGGAGAAGCCCCAGATGAATTTGCTGGTTTATACAGGTTTGCACTTGATAGTGTAGTTATTATCTGAGCCGCTCTGTTTGTGAGTGCATCCCCAGCACAGCATTTGGATAGCAAGTCTTATGACCTGTGGCTGCTTGGAGACGCTCCTTCAGGGACTCTTGCTGGGAGTCCCTGACCCAGGAGAAGTCAAGCAGCTCCATAGGCTCATCCCAGTCTGCAGAGTGGGACAGTATCCCCCATCCTTTTGACCTCAGATGGTTGTGGGCTGTGTAAGGGAGGGGTGGAATGTGGAAGCCCTGGCGGAGAGCCCCGTGCAGTGCAGTGGTGCTTTATCCTTGCTGCAAAATCTGTTCAGGCAAAAGAAATTGGAGTCAGTGCCTTTCATGTTATCCACACCTCTCTGGTGTCTATTCCTCATTTTCCCAGTGTTCTCTCTTTCTTGGCTCTCACCTGCTCTCTCCAGCTCCCTCCCACCCCTGCTCTTAGGTCTAGCTATTCCCCTGAGGTCTTTCCTCACTCCCCCTCTGATCCCTGGCTCAGAGCTGATGGAAATGCATGTGCATTTCTCCCAAGTCCAGATCTCCAGCCCTGCCCTTGCTTTTAAGCCCGGATCCCGACCTCTTTCTTAAGGTCCTGCAGGTTCACAGGGCTTCCTCCCTTATATTCTCCTTAAAGGCATCGCAGGTCAGCCTTGACTACTCTCCTTGCACCTCTGTGCTGCTGTCATCAGTCACAGGGCTGCCACTTCCCCTGCTCAGATGCTGCTGGAATCCACCCTCTCAGTTTCCATTCCCACCGCTATTTCCCTAGCCCACACCCTTGTTCACTCTGACCCCAAACAGTATTTCAAAGTGTTCAGCGTTACACATGCATTTATTTAGCAATAGAACCCCACCTTTTCCATGCCCCAAATAAATTGTCTTTGTATCTCTAACCAATAAGATTTTGAACAGAGTAGCTGCTCTGGTTGTGGTGGTTTGTGGGCAGCCTGCCCGTCTTCTGTTCCACTCCTCTCCCAGTGGCCCCCAGGCCCTGACACTAGGACCTCAAAGAGCATGGCATGAAAACCACACCTGCCCTCATGGGACAGCCTCCTAAGCCATCTCCTTGTTCCGTCTTCATGCAGAGTTATTTCTCTAAACCCCAGACCTGACAAGGCTCAAAATCCCGTTGTTAACTTGTCATAGTTTAGAGGATCAAGCCTGAACTTCAGCACTATCCTCAGTTTGACCCATATCACCTCTTCTTCGTGTCCCTGCGTTTCCCTCCCTCCTTGCACCGTGTGGTATAGCTCTGCAGGAACGATGGGAATCCCCCAACTCTGCGGGAACTAAGCCTTCAAACCTGTGACCGTGCTGTTCCCTCTGCCAGGAATACCGTTCCCCTTGCTTCCCTTCCTGATGAAAAGCTGTGCATTCCTCAGATCTGGGTTAGATGTCGCCTGCGCATCATCATGCTAATCCGTCACTCTTTCATGTCTCACCTGGTTACCTCAGTTGCATCTTCATGAATCCCCAGATCCACTCTGGACCCCTCTCAAGCATTCGCCACACTTTAGCCAGAAAGATCTTTAAAGCTGTAATGCTGTTCATGTCACATCATAGTCCTTAAAACTCTTCCATATCTTACCTTGATGTTAGGAATAAAGACCAGCTTTCTGAAGAATGTAAGAAAACAGAGTCTACAAAGCCATGTGGATCTGGCCTTAGCCACTTCCCCAGTGTCTTTCACTGTCTGGCCAACATCCCCTTTCAACTAATGCATATGTGCACCCTGCTTCCTCTCACCCCAGGGCCTTTGAACATGTTTCCATTGCCTTAAACTCTGTTCTTATCTTTCTGTGTAAAGCTCAAGCACCCCTTTATCACAATGCCTATCTGACACCTACCTCCATTAGCTCTCAAAGCTCCCTGAACTCCCCCTTTATAGCACTATCACACTTTTTAATTATATAGTCATATGATCATTCATTAATGTGTTTCCCTACCTAGACTCTAGTGAGGTCCAAGGGCAAGGACCATGTCTATGTTGCTCACAGTTTTATTGAGTCCTGTCATTAACATGGAGTCGGTGCTTCATATGTATCATTAGATGAAGGGAATAGCCTCAGCATGACTCCACCTGTCCAGTCCCACAGAAGTTAACTGGGACTATGTACAAACATGTCCTAGGTTTGACTCTCTGCCACTCATCTCCGTAAGCCCAGGCATGGATACTGCCTTATAAAGAGTAGATCATAAGACCAATGTACAAAATGGGGCTACTGAAATTCTTACCCAACATCCAGCATTGTTTATCGAAACTATTTGGATATGCATATTTATTACTTAATTTTCTTGTTATAAGGAAATTGATAGACATTTCATACTATTGTCCTTTATATCTACTGTGCTTCCTTGAATTCAAAGACAGTGAAAAATTCATCTCTTTATGTTAATTGTTTTCATCTTTTAATCACATGAGTTCTAGCCCCCATTGAATTTCCTTTTTTTGTTTTAGCTGCCTGGGTACTTGGTGCTAAATTTCATGTTTAACATGGTAAAATTACCTCTGCCCAGGTGTACGATCGCATCTCTTCCTGTTGTTTTTAAAGTGGCTTTTAATTGTTCTGTTGTGTTATGCTTAACTATTAGAGACAATTCAGACTTTCCTGTTAGAAGTATATATTCCATTCCATATTATATAATATATAGTATCTACTGTTTAGTTTATTTCTATTAATTGCCTGCCTATGATATATATATTACAAAACCCTCTCACACCTTTGTTTTATACACAGTGGTAACAATCCGTATTCTTCGTTTGGAGCCACCCTGGCGAGGGACGATGACAAAAACTTGTGGAGTGCGCCTCACGATGTGTCCCACACAGAGGCGGACGATGACAGGCTCCTGTACAATCTGATAGTTGTTCGCAATCAGCAGGCCAGGGATTCAGAGGTAAGTGCCTTTTGAGACCTTGCTGTGTGCAGATAACCATGTCCGATAAAAAGAGCAATGACTGAGAAGACTGGCTTGAAATAAAAGAATGAAGGCTGAGGTGTTCGACATGAAGGTATTGTAACAGCTTGTAGTTGGTAATTATAGCTGGTCTTGGTAGGCCAGCTTGACAAACAGATAAGACTGATTTCTAATTATTACCTTAATGAGACAAATTACAATAGTACAGAAACAGCAAGCAGGGAGATCGTGAAGATAGTCTGTCATCTTAAATGGCTCAACCAGTCCGCCTCTGTCTTTCCAGGTGTTCAGCAAGTCACAGTTAGAAGCATCATACTGAAGGTCGGAGGCTGCTTTGCATTAGCACCAATTCTGAATTAGTGGGACCTGAAGTAGTTGGGTTTTTTTCCTATTTATAGCTCCTTAAATGAATCAGGCAGCAGCATATCTGCCATATTTGAGATGATTTTTGTGATAAGGCTTGAAACCACTCTTCATGGACTCTCAATCCAAAGTTATTGGCGTGGGGACACTAGAACATTGAAAAGGAGAGGACTTAAGAGAAACAGCAAAGGGGATCATGTTTTATTTTCTCTTTTATTTCAAAAGTAGTATTATATAGTACTATGTATATAGTATAATAAAATGTAGTAGTAAGGGTATCATTTTCCAAATAATACAACCAGGTTTTCTAACTTCTGTGTCCATTAGGCAGCCCTGAGTACATAGATACCTATATGAAACATAGATATCTATATTAAATACAGACTGCATGTTTCTTTGTATTTTCTAGTAATTGAGAAGAATAGGACTATTTAAACCCCAGGTTCTGGCCCTCAGGAAAAGTGTGTGTGTGTGTGTGTGTGTGTGTGTGTGTGTGTGTGTGTGAATGCTGGGGGAATTTTTGCTAATTAATTGCTAACTATTTTTCTTTCCCAAGGCATGCTTTAGCAGGAAGTGATAACCTTTAGAAGTGCTATCTGCACCCTGGTTCTTTTATTCTGGTTTGGCTTGGATGCCCTTGGGGGGTTAGAAGTGGGTATGGAGGTAAGGGAAGGGTGGACAGTTGCCCCTGGTTCTTGAGGCCTGGGGAATGCTGGGCTGGAGAGTCCCACAGTGGCTGTTGATGAGTATCCTTCCTTGGGTGTGGAGTGCTGATGGGGACAGCTTCTGCTGGATAGCCATCACAGGGTTTAACTCAGGGGCGCAGCATCCTACTAGTAGCCTGCTCTGCACTATCCCTGGCTTCCCATGTCCACAGCACAATCCCCTCCTTGACTAGTAACACCTGAAGCACATCCTAAGTCTGCTCCAGCCAGGAACCGCTGCCCTGGCTGCCCTTCTGAGCATGTGGACAGGAGTGCATGACCTTGTTTTCTGCTTCATTAATGGGAAGCGCCAGCCAGTCCTTTGCTGCACTGGGCTGACCAGTTAGGGTTTGTGCTGGGGAGAATAGAGCGAATTCTTCTCTTCTCTTCCCCTTCTTCCCCCACTCTGCCCAAAGCAGTAACAGTGATAGGACCATGATACATACACAGTACACCCCTTTCCTCCCCCACCCCCAGGGCCTGTGCACATGGGACAGGCCTTGAAGGGTGTTTGGAGCTGAGCCTGGCAGCTCTCTCTGGAGGAGCTCCTGCTTCTCTGCCCTGTTTGTGTTCACTTTTGAAAAGATGGTAGAGGGGGCCACATGAGCTACAAAGGACTCTGAATAGACGCAGCTCCAAAGCTGCCCGTTGTGTCTTTGCTCTGTGCTTCTTGGACCTGTGTGAAGAGCCATCCAGAAACCCTTTGCTTCTCCTTGCCTAAGAAAAGAAGTCAAGCTTACTTCTAGAGGGGCTCTGTAACCAAGACAGGCAAGCAGTGAAGATGTGACAATAATTATACATAAGATGATTTGAAATATCTCTGTTCATGGTGCTTCCTTTTTTAAGTGTTATATATATATATATACACACACAGGTACATATATATAAATGTATACTTATTTTATATGTAAGTATATTATATATATGTATTATAATATACATAATATATATACATGGTTTAAATTTTTTCATATAAAATGCATATAAAAGCATATAGTAATAGTTCTATTCATTTGCCTACAGGTGGGATTGTACATTACAGGCTCTTCTGAACGATGCTCTGTTTTCCCACTTAATAACATATTTTGGACATTTGTTCATTTCAAAGTGCTTAGATTTACCTTATTGCTTTTGAGGGCCCCCTAGTATTCTCTTGGATAGATTTAATCATCATTTAATCCGCCAGTCCCTGTGGATGGTTAGGTTGATTCAGGTTTTTTGCTTTTAGAAGCAATGGAACAGTGGATATCCATGTGTACTTGTATGACCTTCCATAGTTTTTCCTGGACCAAAGAGCATGTGCATTTAAAAGGAATTGTCACAATGTTTCCTTCTTGGAGGTACCTGTGAAAAGCACTTCCAGTTGCAGAACTGAACATCATTGGAAGCTCATACTGTGTTTAAGAGGAGCAACTACCAAGCTCCAGAGAGCTGTTTCCATGCTGAGAATGTGAACCCGCAAGTGCCAGGACTTTCTGATTTTTAGGAGAAGCTGAAAACACAGATTTACATATAAAATGTCCAGATTTTTAAATGAAAATGCACGTAAAAAATGTGTCAGCCAAACAAAATATGTCTATGGGCTACTGATCTATAGCGAACATTTACAACAAGGATTGCCACTACTTATTATTACTGTTATTATGTCCAGTGTGATTGAAAAGTGAACTCACCATTAATTTAGAAGGTGGAAGAGGGAAGCTGGTGGGGGGGGGTGTTTGAAATTTGAACAAATTCCATATCTGTTAACATTGCTGATTTCCTTTTTCACACAGGATGAAATTGGTACAAATTTTAATAAAACAGGATTTTAGTTTTGAAAGGAGAACAAATTCTACCTAGAAACAAGGAACCCTAGTATTTTTGCATGATGCCGTTTAGAAGCTCAAGCAGAGTATTGAGGAAAGCTGATCATTATGTTTTTCCTTTAGTAGCAATATCACGAAAGACCCCAGGAACATCCATATTTGGAATTCTCTGAAAAGTGAAAAATAACTTCAAAACAGTGTGTGTGCTACTTACATTCCCTTATTGAACTGAAGCTGGCAGAGGAAGGATTGCAAATAGTTAAGGCTAAATTTGCAGTGTTTTCCCAAATTGGGAGGGGAAAAAAAATCAGAAGACACATAGGAGAGCAAACAATGAAGCGAAGGTATGAACTTAAAAGTAACTCGCAGTGTCAGAAAATGTAAGGAGGAACATTATTTCAGTCTAATAGAATCCACGTTTCATTTACACAAGCCCTTGAAAGCTAATGGAAAACTGACTTTCAGCAGAAGACATAATGCATTTGCAGACCTCCAGGTAGTGGAAAAATTATTGCTCTTGTCTTTGAATGATGTCATAAAATACTTTAATTTGGCTAAGCAACGGTTAACAACCTCAGAATCATGGCACTGAATCATTCTTCTTATGTTCATTCTCGTTAAGCTAGTTGTACTTCACCTAACACTCTGTTCTAGGGAGCTTAGGAATAGTTAGTGAAATATCAATGCACCTTATTTATTTGTGTAAATAATTTAACAATATGGGAAGATCTTGTCTTCCAAGATATTAATAATAATGAAAACAGTGCCAGGCACACTGTTCAACCACTTTACATGTGTTAACTATGTCCTGTTCAGAACTCAGTGATGTAGGCACCATTATTCCTCTTTGAAGCGACTTGTCCAAGGCCACACTGCTGAAAGTGCAGAGTTAGGATCTGAATCTAGGCTTTGTGAATGATACGATATATAATGAGCACCATGAATGAAACTGTGAGAGAGGAACTGATATCGTTTGAGATTCAGTGTCGATTTCGTAAGGCATGAGCAAAGCCCGATTCTGTGACTTGTTGATGCCAATGATAGGAAAGGCATTCTCACTGCAGGGGAGTGAGAGCTGTGCTTGGTTTGAGGTTCCCAGCCTTGTTTCAGGAAGTGTTCCCGTTTATAACGTAATACCTTTCCTAAGCTGTGCTTTTCCATGCTGATTGCTGCTGGTTAAAACTCCTACTCCAGGCTTCCTTGTTATTAGCTCTGAGATGTTTCATGGTCTCTGATCTATGTTCATTGGCGTCTCTTCTGATGGTTCTGTAGTAGTTCCTTTAGGACTTTGTGTGTGGAGTCAACATTCTTACTTTGCTAAAAAAGACTTTTATATTTCTGATTAAGAAAATAAATGCTGAGAATAAAATTGTTCTCATAAATACTGTTAAGCACCTTTTGGTGATGTTTATTTGGCATAATCGGTGATGGAAATTCCATGTTCATTTAAAAATGATTTAAATCATCACATGCTCAGAGGTGTGTGTAGTTCTCATACTGAGGGCTTGCCTTCCTCTTACTGAGCAGTGCAGGGTCCCTGGGAACCAGTTGTGGGGCTGGAGTGAACCTGTGAGAAGTACTGAACCCTGCCAAACCGTGGGGTACGGCCAAATGTTATGTTTTAAAACTATAGAGGCAAAAACATAGAACATCCCTTGTTTACAATGTACAGTTTTCTTTTCCTGTGTGGCAGGCAGGCCTCCCTGCTGACGGAGTGTTGCTAGGTAGGCATTGTAAACAGTTCCTATAGAGCGTTTCAAGTAGCAACAGACCTTCCCTGGGGTGGTCTGCAGTGTCTGGGTTGTACACTTAGCCTGTTGCACCCCTTGTACTGAAAGAAGGGACAGAACAGAGTTGACTGAGGTGTTTGAGGGAGGATGTGAGGAAGCAGGAGGGTAGAATTGATCAGGTACCAGCCACTTAACTCCGAAGCACGTGGAGATATGATAATCCACTTAGACTCTGCATCGCTGTCTTTGGTTCTTTTTAAATATCCTGCTTCTCAACTCAGTATGAGAACTAAGTGGTTGATACTACCATTAAGTTAGAATTTCTACTTTCATCATAGTAAGGACCCACTTCTAGTTTCACAACTATTCTTATG